ACATATTTTATTGAGTTATTTTATTATTTTGGGTATATTATTCATGTATTATTATGCATTAATGTTTTCAGCAGTACACTCACACAATACAAGAAAAAAAGACAACTTATTCATAGTTCCATGTAGGACGAGTCTGTGTAAAAACAACTTCAATAATATTGGACTTCGTCTTTTAAACCACTTGCCGCAATATATAAAGGACATACCAGCACTATACAAATTTAAAAAGACTTTGAAAACATTTCTACTTGAACATTGTTTTTATAGTATAGATGAATTCTTCTTGTTTGGGGATAAATCCTAGTTAACATCAATATTACCAGATAATTCAAGAATAAGTGACTTGTTGAGCTTATACCAGCATGCTATGAATGTATACTGCGCAGTTCTCTTCTGCTTAAAGGAATCAAGACACCATGTTGGATGTGATAGAAAGGACATCATGAGATGGAGGGACGTCTACGTAGGCCGCTTAGAGAGAGATCGAGAATACCAGGCCATCAAGAAGGGCACCAATCTGCTGAGAACATTACATTAGCTATCAATATCATTATTCTAAGGCCACGCCATAGCTTAAGCGATTAGTCGCTGGCTTCCCACCACTGTGATCTGAGCAAGTGGGATTTGTGATGGACAAAATGGCGCTGGGGCAGGTTTCCTCCGAGTACTTCGGTTTCCCCTGCCAATGTTCATTCCATCAAATTCTCCACAAATAAGAATATCTAACTAATTCTAAATTGTAATCAGCAGTAAAAAATTGTAACTATTGTAATTTTAATCTACTTATATATCAAATTGTTAATATTCAGAATTAACTTGACTTGTCATATATCATGTACAATGATCTACAGTGACGAAATAAATCAATCAATCAATCAATCATGAAGTCATTTCGGCAACGCTGACAGGCAACAGCATTGAGTTGTCTGGGGGTGTTACATAGCTTATACAGTGATTAGTGTGTGGATGTAACGCAAGATAATTAGTCATTAAATATTTACAATATTTTTTCTATAAAAAATCCCCACGGCCGTTAATCGCGGTTTTCTAGACCGGAGTTCTAATACATTAAGGGGGGGGGAAACACATGTTTGCAAAGGGAAGAGATGGAGCTCAAGTAATTATATAATAATGTTATAGTATGAAAATACATCAATAAAAACTCATTTCATGAAATATTATTCTTTTCAATCACATATTCATTATAGCAAAAGAATAGTTCCAACTCCACTTACTTTTAGTTTCCTTATAACTGGATGTCAGCTGCAAATAATGACGGTCACCTTAAATTCGGAAGCACCAACATGCTTGCTTTCTCTCTTGTACAATTCAACTTAGTGAGCTTAGTGAGCTTAGTGAGGGCAGCAGACGAAGCAAACATATGTAAACAACCTCGCAGTTGTCAGCACTGTAACAATAACAGTTACGTTGCTACGAAATTGACAATAGGATAAACAGTCACGTTGCAATGGAATCGACAATTTGACGCATTGTAAGAATATCAGTGACGTTGCTGTGAAACTCACACTGTTTGTCGAGTCGTTTCTGTTAATACAAATTTGTTTCGTCAGTGTGCTGAAGAGAGGTACTTTGAACGAATTTTATTAAATACAAAAAATTAAACCATATAATAAGCACGATGTCGCAAGCCGAGGAAAGTCGACCGATTAACTTAATCCCCTGGCGAAGAGGAGCACCAAAAGAAACGGTAACTATATACATATTAATTATTCTCCAAATGTTTCGTAGAACAGAACAAATCCCACCTTACAATAAAATGTGATTTTATCAATTCAATTCAATTTTATTTCATCCATGGATGAAACAATATGGGACAAAGATTAATATCAATACTAATACTAAATAATAATAAGTATATAATAATACAGAAATAATATGACAATATAATAATA